ATTTGGTTTATGGATTTAGGCTGACATTCCACAGTTACACAAGAGAGGAAAGACCATGTCAAGGCACGAGGAGAGGATGGCCATCTATAAGCCAAGGAAAGAGGTCTCAGGAGAAATCAACCCTGCTGACACATTGATCTGAAACTTCAGTCTCCAGAATTAAGAAAATTAATTTTTGTTTAAGTCACCTAGTCTGTGGTACTTTGTCATGTCAGCCCTAGCAAAGTAATACAAACAGCAACTGTTTTTAAGAGTTCTCAAACTTGCAACTTGTAATTACATTTTCAGCTTAAACTTTTCAAAAGGAGGTAAGCATTTTTTTTACTCTTCAGCAGAAACACCCCCACCACTATGCAATGCTTTCAAATTGGTCTTAGTAGCTTTCAGAACAGCATAGAAGTACCTCAATCCTGCGTACAGACATTCAAGATCACAATCCTAACAGTTGGCAGGACAGAACCCCTAGGGGCAACACTGAGTACTGAGTAATGCCAAAGAGTCCTGGGTTCTAGTCCAGATTCTGCAATTAACTGTCATGTGGCCTTGGGCCGGTCACTTTCTTCTCTGCACTGCTGATCTTTAAAAAGTGTAAACTGAACTAGGTGGTCTCTTAGATCCATTTATTTCCAAACTACATGACTCAGGGATGGTTGTAAGCCCTCTACTGTGTAAATGAGCATTTCACAGAAAAGCAAGTTTAAAACCTCATTTGGCCATAGTGTTATTTTATCTTTTGTTGATAAAAATGTCTGTAATGCTGGAAAAAAAAAAAAGTAATTACATTTACGGATACAAGAGATTTTACAGGCTAGCCAGCAAAGATCAATAGTGGTTACCTAATTTCCTATTCCATTAAAAATAAATTCCCACTTCCAAAAGATCCATAGTAAAAGATTAAAGAAAACTCCTACAATCCAATAGGTCTTTAAAGAACACAGAAATAATACTTTTGTCTAAGTAAAAGCAATATATAGGCAGCTGTAGCTGTGTTACCTTTTAACGAAAAGCAACACAAATTTGGTCTGGAATGACACCTCACGTTTCAAGTATGTATACTAATCCCACAGGAAGCCAAAAACCGAACTGGAAAAAGTGTTCCAACTCTTGTTTGGCAATCGCATTTATATGAAGAGTTGTGCGTGTTAGACACTTACACAGAAAGGTGGAGAAAGGGAGAGAGGAGAGAGAAAGAGAACTCATGCAAGTGTGCCAATATGCTTGTGCTACAGGGAGAGGGCCATAGAAGTTGTTGCATTGTAGGACTATTAGAAAAGCACTATGCTTTTCATTAAAAATCATTCCTTAATTAATTAAAAGAGAGGTGGTTAGCAGACTTAGGGTTTCATCAGTTTTTAAAGTTGTATGAATATGTGCTTGCTATGATCCCTAACTATGACAAGTTTAGATGGATGGCTATGAAAAAGAAAAGAAAATATGACATCATTAGAATTACAAGACAAGAAGAAACCCAAAGTACAGACACAAGAACACAGAAAAATTTTAAGAGAGTACAGATGTCATGACATTTATTAAAAGGCATGCTACAATGCTATACTTGTTAGGAAAAGAGATTAGAGATACCAAGTAATTGTCAGCAAATATACAAACTGAACGAAAATGGAATATACTGTAGTGTACAGAAGCTTGAATTAACCATGCACTACGCATTTAGAAAATATGTTTTTTAATATTTTATCTTCTCTTTGCATTTATAACATAATTCACTTAATCACAGAATCCTCTTCTTCCAACACCACAAACTGTGTTACAAATGAAAGCTGGTACTGCTGCTTATCAAAATATACAAGACAATTGATGTTTTATATAAAACCACTTTATATGTTAACTTGTTCCCAAAAACCTTTTTTTTTTTCTTTTTTGGCCTGGTTAAAAAAAATGTTGTTACAAATATTTACAGCATCTTCTTCTGTTAGATGAACATTCTTATAAACTGAAAAAGGGAATTGTATGAACAGACCACATAAAACACAAGACAATGTCAGAGGCTCCTAGCTGTGCTATTTTTTTTTTCTTAAATACAGTACTGAAAATGCCCATCAAACCCTTGTCATCCTAATCCATTCTGTTCACATTTATACTCCCATTTTCTCTAAGTAGTCTATTCACCAATAGGAAGTAGAAAGTAAAGGCCGCTTTGCACTGGGTCTTCTTGCAGAAAGGAGCTTGGGAAGAAATGCTTAATGAGAGGAGTTAAAACCAGAACAGTTAAGTCTTTGGTCAGAGCAATGAGGTGACATTTTGATGCAAAACTTTGCTTGGTCAGCAATCTATAATTAGTACTTTCTGGATATGGGATGAATTTTTAAAAGATCTGGGTAACAATGGTAAGGGGGGAAAAGGCCAGAGCATGTTTTGTTTTTTAAATGACATCAAAAATATCTATTTAAATATTTGTTAATACAACTACTACATAGATTCAAAAACTGAAAATAACAACAACAAAAACAAAATCTGTTTACAGTGCTGACTTAAGCTTGCTATAAGCAGCTTTCGATCATGACTATTATCACCAAGGTCACTGGACCAGACAAATATCCCTGTTTTCTGGAACATATGCCTCAGGTTACAAAAACAAAAATGACGACCACAGAGATTTAGAGCGGCTCATTCTTGGACCTGCACAATGCTATATAATGAATATCATGTGATAAAGGCAGAAGTGTAACTGAAACCTCATTTCTACAGTTACAATTCTTTGCTTGTATGAATAGTCTGTGAGATAACATTCTTTTAAAACTTTATAGCACATATTTCCTGAAAACCAGAATACTGATAACTACCTTAGTCTCAAATAGGAAGAAAAGGTCAATTAAGACTACTGAAGAAGGCACATAAACTTTGGTCCTGTTTTGTTTTCTTCCCTCTATAAAACCCCCCACTAATATTTTAGTAATTTTCTACTCTTTAAACCATTCATAACTGTTAGAATTTGCTGTGAAAAAAGACTGCAAATAGTCTTGTAGATAACAACACAGCTCTTTTGAAGGACAGCTGAGTTCTATTTTCTTTAAAGGAAAACTTCTGTGCAATCTAAATTGTATTTTTTAAGCACAATAATAGAATATTTTAAGTCTGGCAGTTTTATTCTTGTTAACGACTGATCAAGGCGAAAGGCTAAGAAAAATGCTTTTACGCATAGTCATGCTGTCTTTTTGGTTTAAAAATAGCAGTACACATTAGGTTTTCTAAGAGATAGATTGATAGTTTGGCAAACTTAGGGTTTTTAAGTGACTCAAGGGGGGGAAATACACATACTTTTGAGCTTGTCACCTTCTGCCCAAAAATATTTAGTGGGACCAGAAATTACATGATAATATATTCATTATATAAATTCCACTGCCTAATGACATTTATGAGAGTTATCTCTTTATCATCTGAAGCAGAACCAATGATCACCATCCTAGGTGGAGCCAAATAAGACATTGCTCCCTTAAGGAATTAGGCAGGCAGAAATTAAGTCTTTAAAAATTGTGAGATCTGCAACTTTTAACTACAGAATAAGAAACATTACTAAAAATAACATCATAATATTTACTTTTAAAGACTATATGGCATTCTATTGGAGCTACTGGGGAATTCTGATATTCTTCAGTAAGTTATTGATTAAGATATTAAGATACTGGGTCATTTTTCTATTTGTATCTCACACAAAACACATTTTACTGCTATGCAAGTTATTTAAATCTCAAACTTTTTGGCATACATTGCTATTGCTGAACGTGTACTGCTATTTTTTGAAGACCTGAATATATATACTTTGTGTACAAGTCAAGACACCTCCAGAAGTGATTAAGACAACAGTCCTTAAAATAAAGTAAATAAACTTAAAAAATAGGATACTATGACAGCTCAACAGTGAAAATAAACATTGCTTAGAAGATACTGAATAAATGTATGCCAAAACAAAAGTATGAAGATCTAGTTTTTCCACTACCCTGATATCTTTAAATCTCTCTACAGAAACTATGCCAACAAATACTGTAGACCTCTATAATTCAAATAGTAAATAACTCAATATGGGCAATATCCATGCACTACAGCTAATTTCAGACACAAATTGAAGATTTCAAACATACTGTTTTAGACAAGAATATCTCACTTTTCCAAATCTTAATTTGATTTTGTCAATAAATTAAAATGTATGTAATGTGTATATGTATGTACATTAGAAGAGTGCATGTATATGTATACATACTTACCTACACACACACACACACACACACACACACACACACACACACACATCCCTGAAAAAGATTCAAATGTTCTCTCTCAGATTTAAAGGCCATTTCCTACTTCAAAATTAACATTCAACACTATTACTATCTCCTTTCTGCTACACTGACACTAAATGTTATGAGAATCATGAATTAAAATTACACCGTAATTCCTAACTCAGAGCAAACAAAATAATCCAATAAATGTGACACTGAAAATTATAATAGTGCCTGTATGGAAGGAAAAAAGAAGCAAATTTGGGGAGATTTCTCAAAAAAAAAAAAAGAAGTTTTTTTTTCCTCTCCCCTCTTACCAGAGGGGTAAAAATGTGTAAACACACATTTTGTAAAGTGAAAAAAATAAAAACTATATAGCTAATTATTACTATCTATTCAGCCAATGCTAAAATGGATTCATTTGAAATGAATCTCAATTTAGTGGCCTTCTTCCTAGTCTATCAGATACCTGCTCCTCAGTGTGAAGTGAATTCTGTTTTTTATAACCTATAGTATCTTTTGTAGTCTCCAATTTTCTGTAAAATTTCTTTTGTAAAAATCTTCCAACATTCGAATTAATGGCTGCAATATAGTAAAGAAGTGGAGATACTCTTTTTAAAGGTGAGATGAGCTACTCTGAGAATCTGAAAAGTGTAAAAGGGATGGACAAAAATGACCCCTATGACAAATTCTGCTTTAAAAAAATCTAATCAAGCATTGAAAAAATAATGAACAAATGCAAAGTTTCTTATTAAAAAGAAATAATTTTACATTATAGAATCACTGAAGTAACATTAAAATGCATTCTTACACTCAACCAAAAAGAGAAAGGGACAGAGTATGAGAAAGGACCCACCTTCTCATACCCCATATAATGTGGACACTTAGTAATAAAGTTACATTAACAAAGAAAAGCATCGCACTGTACTGAGAAAAACCAAGTAATCCTGAGACAAATTCTAATGGGTGATAAAGGTTAGACAAGATTCAGAAACTGAAATTGTATTTTATAGTCCCAAACTGGTATGCTATAACTGGCAATGACCACTATTGGTCACAAAGTGAAGAGGCCTACAGGTGTGCAACTGAGTTATTCCCCAAACCATTCACCCTTCCCCACCCCATCTCTGCACCAAAGCACCAAAAATTTGAATAAAAACTATTACTTATTGAAAACCACTTAAAATTGCAATGAAAAACTTTAAAATCCTTACCAAAACAGGGAAAAAAAAACAAAATGCTCACCAAGCCCACAATATAGCTTTCAAGATACTTAGATAAAATTCTAACCTATTGTATCATAAGCACATAATAAGGCACATAATAAGAAATTAAGTAAATAGACAGTAATTCTGAATAAGTATTAGAGATTATAGTGGTACAAAAAACCCTTGAGATTAATTTTTTTCTAAAAGAAGACCTTACCAAAAATAACTTTTAAAAAATCTGTCAAACCATATGATAGACCTGAATATTTTCCTTGTAAACTTTTTTTTCTGAAAACAATTATAAAAAAGTAGTTTATAAGTAGGATTATTTTTCTTTTTAAATTTTTGAAGATCATATTACTCGGCAAATAGTATCATTTTGAAAATTAAACCATGATTTTTCCTCATAAAATTACTATTTCTTTTGACACCTTAACAGATCTTGGATTCCACTTAATTTCCTTTGGGGACAACTGAGACACTTCATTTCTCCAAATAGTCTTAAAAAATTAAAGAGATGTATTCTTCAAAGGAGTGTCTTACAGTGAAAAAAAGAAACAATTGAAAGAAAATGTGCAAGTTTATAAATTTTCTTCCAATACAACCCAATTTGTTTATGTATAATACCTATCAATACATGCCTAACAACTGATATAATTTAGAAGTGAACATAATTTCCTATAGGGGTCGAACTTCTGAATCATAAAGTTAAAAACTTTGTTGTAAGTAATTTTAAAAGCCTGTATGTTTAAATTTTTCCAAAGTACAAAGGAGTTTACAAATGTTGTATAAGGCTGATCTGGACCCAAACTAAAAGAAAGACTGTCCTCTTGAAATCCAATTTAATACAGGGAATTAAATTATTAAAAAAATTCTTTTCCTGATTTTTTTTCCTGAAGATTATTTTCATAGACACTAAGGTACAAAGGAAAAAACGAACCTTTGATCACATACTGGCAAGGGGGAAAAATGGAAAAAAAGAACGTCCCTTAATTTTCTGAATATACTTGGATATCAAACTCAGAGTTATTTTTGTGAAAGAGGCAGAATTGGTCTTGAGTTGCTTCAGTCTATGTCTGAAGGTTTTACTGAAATTATGGTCCAGTCTTAGGAGAAAAATTCACAGAAAAATCAGATTGTAGATTTTGAGAAGGAAACTCTGAGGTGATGATTTTCTCCAAGGTCATGGTTATGAAGTTCAATGAGGGCCTGGATTGCTTCTTCCACAGATCCCAACTGAATGAGTGCCATTTTGCGATCTTTCCTAAAAACAATGGAAGAAATATAAAAAGTATGTAGAATTAATTTTACCCACAAATCTCCCCAACCCTAGAAGACTTCATTGAACTACCTTTAAAATTTGCACACCACTTAAAATAATGTATTTCTTGAAAGCATGGACTTACTGAAAGAATTTAAAAGCCTTCACTGAACATCCAGCTTCTGTGAAAAGGTTCTTCAGATCATCCACTGTAACAGAAGGGCTGTGAAAACATCACAGAGAGTGTCAACTATCTTAGCCCCAGTTCTCAAATGAACCAAAGATTAATTTTCAACTGTCAAATCTTCAGAGTATCTCACATTTCTAAGACAATAAAGCCCTGAAAGGGCTTTTGGAACTGCCCTGAAAGATGTTCAAAGTTGACACATACATGTTCTAAAACAATGTACTTTGGTCTAAAATCTTTTACATAAAATACGGGCAGGTATTGGGGCACCTGGGTGGCTCAGTCAGTTAAGCATCTGACATCAGCTCAGGTCATGATATCATGGTTCATGGGCTCAAGCCCTGCGTCAGACTCTGTGCTGACAGCTCAGAGCCTGAAGCCTGCTTCAGACTCTGTCTCCCTCTCTCTCTGCCTCTCCCCTGCTTGTGCTCTCTCTCTCAAAAATAAATAAACGTTAAAAAAATTTTTAAAAACACGGGCAGGTATTTAAAGAACAAGAAAATCTATCTGTATTTCTTTTAAAGCGATAATTACCCATACCACTGGCTTCAGTAGTTAATGTTAATGGTATTTCCAAAACTACTTCTAGTGTTTCCAAAATTACTTCCCAGTTCTGACTTGTTGGCTCTTGACCAGATGTCTACATTTTTAATGGCTTTTAGGGTAATTCTGAATACATGTATGTGGGAGTCAGGCTCTAAGATGCTTCCCCCTCCCCTCACTACTATTGCCTCCTAGTATTCAAGGCCTTTAGATACTCCTCTTCCATAAGGAAGAGATGTCCTCTGTAACCTTTAGGGTACCATAGAAACAATATGTTTGACTTCTTCTTTTTTTTAACGTTTATTCATTTAAAAAAAAAAAATTTTTTTTTAACGTTTATTTATTTTTGAGACAGAGAGAGACAAAGCATGAACGGGGGAGGGGCAGAGAGAGAGGGAGACACAGAATCGGAAGCAGGCTCCAGTCTCTGAGCCATCAGCCCAGAGCCCGACGCGGGGCTCGAACTCACGGACCACGAGATCATGACCTGAGCTAAAGTCGGACGCTCAACCGACTGAGCCACCCAGGCGCCCCTCATTTTTGAGAGGCAGAGACAGAGCATGAGTGGAGGAGGGCCAGACAGAGAGGCAGACACAGTATCCAAAGCAGGCTCCAGGCTCTGAGCTGTCAGCACAGAGCCTGACGCTGGACTCGAACTCACCGACTGAGAGATCATGACCTGAGCTGAAGACGGACATTTAACCAACAGAGCCACCCAGGGGTCCTGACGTGTTAGACTTCTAAGGCTAAGAGACATTGCAATTCCCACCCTGCATCAGCTCTGGAAGAAACCAGCTACTCTTTCAGAGGGATGCTCAAACACCCATATGGAGAAGTCCTTTGTGGCAAGGAACTGAGGCTGCCTGTCAACAACTAGATTCATAAGTAAGTGAGCCACCTTGGAAGTGGATCCTGTAGCCCCAGTTAAAACTTCAAATTTTTGAGACACTCTAAGTTAAAACTAACCAGCTAAGCCACTCTGTATTCCTGAATCACAGTAACAGTATCAGCTAATAAACATTTTAGATAACTAATATAGTGGCCTATCACATGAGAGTCAACTGACTAAATTATTCCAACATAGCAGTTGTCCTATTCACTAATTTCTTATGAGATGATTTAACTGCCATACTGTCTTAAGAACACTGTATCTCATCTCATAACTGCCAGTAAGGATGGTTCAGGAGGACAATGATTGGTTCTGCATGGAGACAGATCTGAGTTCACATTCTATTTCTCATTCATTTGGTGTATGACCTTGAGTAAGGTACTAAACCTGAGTTTCACTGATAAAATGAAACAAATGACTTTATTTCAAAGGTTTTTAGGTATGAATTAACAGAGAAAGAAAGAAAGAATAGTGGTTACCAAGGACTGGAGAGTAGAGGGAAATGGGGAATTACTCTTAATGGGTACAGAGTTTCAATTTGGGATAATGACAAGAATCTGGAGATGGACAGAGGTGATGGTTGTACAATCTGAACGTACTTAATGTGAATGTACACCAAACTGCACACTCAAAAATGGTTAAAATGGGGGCACCTTAGTGGCTCAGTCAATTAAGCATCTGACTGGCTCAAGTCATGATCTCCTGGTCTGTGAGTTCAAACCCTGCATCAGGCTCTCTGCTGTCAGTGCAGAGCCTGCTTTGGATTCTCTGTCCCCCTCTCTCTGTCCCTCCCTTGCTCTCGTGCACACTATCTCTCAAAAATGAATAAACATTTTTTTAAAAGGTTATTATATGGAGATTAAATGAGGTAACAAATGTAAATTGCCAGCATGGTGCCCAGAACTTGGTAGATGGTTCAGAACATATTAATGTCCTCTCCCTCTTCTGCCTACACATCCTATGTAGGCTGCAACCTGAGACCAGCCCCTAGATAATGTATTTAAGAAGGTAATAATGACAAGAGCCTGCCCTGGTATCCAAATATGTTGTTGCTATGTCTCCATAATGATGAGCTGCTACATTTCTAGATCCACATAACCTAGAGATTTTTTAAGGGACTCCTCCAGTTTCTTAGCTGGCATGAGATTTGAGCCATTGTCCAATTCAGATTCAAGGTTCCTTCAGGTAGCCTACCCAGAGACTAGCTGGCAGCCTGAGCACTCAACATTATTTTGGGGGATTACTTTCTATTCCTATTCATCCCCATTCTCATTCTCAATAATGTTCTAGAACTTTTTTACCCTTCTCCATTCCCTCAAGTCTTTAAATTTCTACACACATGGCCATACACAACGCCACTCTTTCCAAAGTTTATTCTCTTTTCATGTATTAGATTAAGTTACATACAACTGCCATCTTCATATGTGCTTAGAGTGCAGAGCCTGCTTGGGATTCTCTCTCTCCCTTGCTCTCTGCTCCTTCCCCACTCAGCTGTCTCTGTCTCAAAAATAAATAAGGGGCGCCTGGGTGGGCATGGTCGGGTTCATCCGACTTCAGCCAGGTCCACCGTCTGATCCATTGAGGTTGAGCCTTGCGTCCAGGCTCTGGGCTGATGGCTTGGAGCCTGGAGCCTGTTTCCGATTCTGTGTCTCCCTCTCTCTCTGCCCCTCCCCTGTTCATGCTCTGTCTCTCTCTGTCCCAAAAATAAATAAGCGTTGAAAGCACTTTGAAATGGTAAAATGGGTAAGTAGGCTTGAAAGGGTGACTAAAGAACAAGTCTCCTACAACACTGGTTAAAATGGAGTAGTCTCAATAAAGTAATTTTTAGCTTTTATAAACATTTAAAAAATTATTTATTTTATTTTTGAGAGAAAGACCGCAGGAGTGGAGAAGGGATGGAGAGAGGGACACAGAAGAATCAAGGCTAGGCAGACTCCTATGCTGATATGTGAACCTGATGCAGAGCTTGAACTCACAAACTGTGAGATCGCGACCTGAGCCATAGTTGGACACTCAACTGACTGAGCCACCCAGGCACCCACTTTAAAAGCATTTTTATTTGAGAAGAGAGAAAGAAAGAGAGAGAGAGAGAGAGAGAGAGAGAGAGAGAGAGAGAGAGAGAGAGAGAATCTTTATGCAGAGTCTTGAAGTGGGGTGGGCAAGAGGGGAGACAAATTCCCAAGCAGGTTCTGTGCTGTCATTGTGGAGCCTGGTGCGGGGCTCAAACTCACAAACCCTGACTTCACGATGTGAGTCAAAAGTAAGAGTCCAAATGCTTAACTGACTGAGCCACTATGTGCCCCAGAGTAATTAACATATACATGGTTTTGCAACTTGTAGATAAAGAATAGAAAATTCATTTTTACCATATTCTTAGACACATAAATTATTTGAGTTTGTTATATTAATTCTTTACTTCTATACAAAGGGATGAACAAGTATGTACCAATGGAATATTTCTGCATAAACTTATTTTTATGCCCTTTTATAACTGAAAGGTAACTAGTTGCTAATTCTCCATTTGGAAAGAAACTTATCTTTCACTTTTGGTGTATGACTAGAGATATGACTTTAAGACATGATGGTAAATAAGTAATCTTATAAGAAATTGGTGACTAGGACAACTGCTACGTTACAATAATTTCAGAGTTTCTACCTCTCCCAAACCATATACTGTAGACTATTAATCATCTAAATGAATAATAATTAATTAGGTACATACGGGATGTTGGAAAGATGCAGAGTGGCTGATGGTGGAAAAATATTCTGGAAGTTTTTAGAGCCAGGTTTTTTAAAGCGATGCAAAGGACTATTGCTAAAATCCTTAGTCAGACCTTGGTCTTCTTGTCCCTCTCGGGGAAGCTGAACTGCCTGATGTTTGGACAGTGTAGCACGAAGCACTTTTCCGTAAAGTCTCTGCCCACTCAGGTGGTTCATGGCTAGTGCATAGAAGAAAATTAAGAAAAGTTTGGGTATTAAGATAAAGTTCTTGTAAAATTTGTCTAAATTATCATTAAATTCTTTTATTTAATCATTTAAAATTATATTGCCAGTTCTGGGTGTTATAATAGTTTTAAATTCAAAAACTCTTACATATAGAAATGTATTAAATGACTTTACTATGATGAAAGAGAAGCAATTAAACAAAAAATAACTATCTTTCTAGCAGAGTGCTAGAAAGTTCCATAGTGCACAGAACAAGTGCTTAGGAAATGGCTATTGAATAAAGTATTTTAATCTCAAGCAACACATTGTTTTTTGTTTTTAAAAGCAGACTCCATGCCCAAAGTGACTTGAACTCATAACCCTGAGATCAAAAGTTGCATGCTCTACCGACTGAGCCAGCCAGCACCCCTGGCAACACATTCTTTTAATAAAAAAATCTGAGTAGTAATATTTTAAGAGCCACTGTGACTATGAACTATAAGGCCATGGAATGCAACTTTCTTACACCATTATTATGAAGTGTGCTCAAACTTTTAAGCCATGAAACAGTTACAGAAAACTTAATTTGGAAGAAAAACAAATAAATTAACAAAATTAAATGAAACAAAAAAAAGTCACATTTATTAGTTTATACTTCATGGAAAAAACCTAGAGTTTATAAAGGTCCAAACATCAACAATATGTTAAAGTAGATAAACGAACTTCAGACTTCAAAGAGCAATAATTATTTTTTAACCTTTTTTTTTTTCCCCTGAAAGAGAGTTCGAGCCTGAAAGGGAGAAAGGCAGAGAGAGGAAGAGAGAGTCCCAAGCAGGCTGTATGGCCAGCACAGAGCCCGATGTGGGGCTCGATCTCACAACTGTGAGATCATGACCTCAGCCGAAATCAAGAGTCAGACGCCTAACCCACTGAGCCACCCAGGTGCCCCTCTTTTTTTAATCTTAAACCAGAAGTAGGCTCAAATAATAATGAAGACATTTGCATAAGAAGGTACCCTTCAGTAAAATGATAGTCCTACCACCTAGAAATTTATTTTATAGGCAAATTCACATACAAAAGGAGGAGGCTTTCATTACTACTATTAACCATAGTACCTAGCTGAGCTTGACTTGCATCTGCCATCTGAACCAAGGCATTTTCTTTCTTATTAAACATAATCTTCACTCGATGTACATCACCATATACTCCTAATGGAAAAGACAAAACAAAACCTTAATTAAACAAAAAAAAAAATGCCCGTTTAATGTTCAATTTTACTCATACATTTAAAGAAGGCTTCTTTTCTCATATACATATTCCCTGGGCAATTCCACACATGTGCTCCCAAATTAACAAATTTGCCTTCTATGTTCTAGATCTATTAATGTACTCAACCCTTTTCACTTGGATGTCCCATAAACACTTCAAATTTAGTATGTCCCAAATGGATTCATTTCCCCTTTTCTCTCCCCGCTTCCAGTGTTCACCAACTCTACCGATATATATTATCATCATTCATATATTTGCTTCAGTCAGACACCTGGGACTCATCTTTTAACTTCTCCCTTTCCTTTCCATTTAGTCAATCACCCAATCACCAGCATCCATTGATTTTATGGCCTAAATATCTCATATTTGTCCACTTCTCCCCATCCTCACCACCATCAAAGCTACCATTATCGTTTCACATCTAAACTACCGTTAACAGCCTCCCAACTGACTTCAATACAACCAATTTTTCTGTATTAGTCTTCCCCAAAGGGGATCTAATATTCCAAAGGACTGGTAAAATGATTGGGGTGTAGGGGGAAAATAGTCAAACTCCTATTTATACTGAGTTGATTATATAAGCTAATATGAAAAACTATATTTTACTAATTTTTTAATATATGCATGAAATTATAGGCAGAAATTTCTACAATAGGAAAAATATTGTTTTTTTAAAATTCAATATATCAAAATAGATTGCAGTTTACATGCTTAGAGGGTATCACCAATATAATAAAAATAAGACCCTTAAATATCAGTAGCACCATAACCACACTTTGTTATGTGACAAAAAGAATGACTATGAGTATCTTCAAGGGACACAAAAGGAGTGCTGGTTATCCGGTGGGCAAGCACCTAACAGCAACTAAAGTCAGAGATGAATGGTACTTTTAAAAAAGACAAGTATTCTGAATTCCAAATTAGCTGTCCTTCTCAGAAGTGACAAGTGGCTGAAACAGACATTAAAAAAATAATACATACAATTTGTTCTTCAAGTTGAGGGTGATATTTTTTTAAACGAGTAAGAAATTAACTACTTTTAGAAAGAAATGTACATTAGTTATTAAAGAGACATGTGAAAATTTATCATTAATACATGATTTTGTTACTGAAAATTACATGAATGTGTCATGAATAAAAACTTTACTTTTTTAAGAACTACAAATGAGTATGAAGAATCTCTGTGGGATGATAGAAATGTTCAAAACTGGATGTAGTAATGGCTGCACAATGATGTAAATTTACTAAAAATCAATGATTTATGTACCTAAAGCAGGTGAACTGTATGGTTATAAATTATACCTCAAAAAGATCGTCTAAAAACCTATTATCCACTCAAAAATTTGAAACAATTTTCTAGCCTATTAAAACTTCCAAATAAAGAGTACCATTTGTTAACCCCATTTGTTAAAAAAATATTCTAATGCAGTTGTCAACATCAGCTGATTTATTTAACAAGAGGAAAAAATGGAACTTTTCTAGGTAAAGTACAATGAAAACGAGTGGATTAGACTGAAAAATTACTAAATCATGAGGTACAGTGACAATGAAACATTTCCACTTAAATTGCTTATCTTTATGAGCTATCATTTCCCGTTATGACAACCTTTAAGATCAAGCACTAAAATAAAGTGAACTTGGAATCAAAGCTGAGAATACAGATTCAAAATGGAAAAGATTTTAAATAATGAAACATATTAAATAATATTTCTCACTAAATGTTAGTAAGTTTTTTATGAAGTTTCACCGTTAATAAAAATCTGTAAAATACTGATTACTTATTTCGTTGTTCTTATATTTCTATTTGTGCATATTATACTATACATAATGAGTACAGTAAAAGGTGGATAAAGTTTATAAATAATCATATATAAATTAGGAGTACATGCTAACATTTTTTTTTTTTGAACTAAGAGAGGAACACTATTAGAAGGTCTGGAGACTATTTTCATTTTATTTTTTAATGTTTATTTATTTTTGAGAGAGACAGAGACAGAATGTGAGGGGGTTAGGGGCAGAGAAAGAGAGGGAGACACAGAATCCGAAGCAGGCTCCAGGCTCCGAGCTGTCAGCACAGAGCCCTATGTGGGGCTCGAACTCACAAGATGTGAGACCATGACCCGAGCTAAAGTTGGACGCTCAGCTGACTGAGTCACCCAGGCGCCCCTGGAGACTATTTTTAAAACCTGAATCTCATTATGCCTCTTCTCTGCTTGAAACTATTCAACGGTTTCCCACTGTTCTTAGGTTAAAAATCCAGCTCCTTAATTTAGTTACAAAGCTCTTCCTGACCATGTCCGTATTCATCTGTTCAGCTTCAACACTTTCCAGTGGGAAGTGGCTTCCTTCACTTCCATGTTCCAGGAGCTCTCTCACGCATTGCTAGCATCTGGGAAAGCACATTTGCCCTTCCTTTCTGCCTGGCTAATGCTTACTCATTTTTCACAAGTCAGCTTAACTATCATTTCTATTGGTACACCACCTTTGATTCTCTCAGCTAGGTTAGGTCTCCTAAGTACACGTTCCTATTACAATCTCTATTTCCCGTTTCATAAAACTTTATTGTAATTGTAATCACTTACTAAGTCTTACTTATTTCCTTCTCTATCTTCAGTGTCAAACACACTATTTATTAGCACATAAAGACAATCGATAAATATTACTGAATGACGAAACATGTTTAATCCACATTACAGACATTAAAAACAGCAAAAAAGAACTTACCAAATAGGATAAAAAGCCCATGTGGTGTGATAAGCTGTTTGAAAAGGATAACACAAAATATAAGTGTCTAAGTAAAACAATTAAAGTAAGTTTACTTATAAAAACAGCAGCTGACTTTGTATAAAGCACTGATTTTATATGCTTCTTCTATATATACTAGTGATGAATTTTAATAAAAATCCTTGAAATAAACTTGAACATTTTAATTTGAATATAACCCTAGACCAGAAGCTATGATACCTCCTCCTGAAAAGAGTAAAATTATAAAATAATTTTCAACTCACATCCGGATTGAGATTGGTGACAAGCAGAACAGAATTTCCTGGTACACCACTAGTCCCAGGAATGGCCATCCTTCCAGTGACAGCAGAGGAGGTGATTGTGAGAGGGCCCAGAGCTCCAGGAACAGCTGGGACTGATATACCTTTTTAAAACATCAAAAGCATTTCATATACTGGTTATCTGGGGAATTACAACACTGGATATAACTTAAGTAAATAAATGAAGATGAAAGCAAAAATATAGAAGAAAATAAGTCAAAGCTACCATAAAAATATCAAAGGCCAGTTAGCCTAGAAGTCAAGATCCTTATTCTTTGACATCACAGTCAGTACTCTGTTATTTATAATACAGAATTTTGCAGAGCAACTGAATTCACTGGTCTTAAAAGTCATTAGAGGATCTATCAACTGTTAAGTGCTCCATTTCTTCAAAGATATTTTAGCACATCCCTATAAGGTAGATGTATTTTTTCATTTGGCTTTTACCACAAAATTATATTAAAAAAAAAAAAAAGCCCTTCAGCAAAAGTCATATTTGTGACTAGGAAGTATTACATGTCCTAAAAGTGGACTGTGGCAATGGCTGTTCAACTCTGTAAATTCACTAAAAATCACTGGACTGTATACCAGGCATTCAGAATACAAAACATTCTGTATAAGAGAAGTATTTTGTGGGAAAAAAACCTGTAACCTTGTAAAGTGCTATATAAATATAACCATCAATAATTGATTTATAGAGTTCAGTATTCTTCTGTAGTGAGAATTTTCAGAGCTCTCTATTCCCCTAGATAGTCCAGAACTATTTCAAGTTTGGTAATACTGGAATATTGACACTATATCCTATGCCTAAAATAGCACTTTACTTTTACAGAAGGTCCTACTATTTGTGTTCTCAGCTTAAAAATTATCTAAGGCAAAATCTCTAGTTTATGTAAAATAAACCAGTTCCTTAATGGTATTTCTTGATTCTTTAAGCTCAAAGTTCCTTATAATACGGTCTGGTCACTTTCCCACAAATCACATAATTAAACAATATACTTTACATTCAGACTATTCTGCTTGACCATCCAATGAGGTCATTATGACCATCATCCTCCTGAGTTTTAAAACTCTGCAGACCACTTTCTCAGGCTGGATATTTTCCCCATGAAATCGATATTCAATGGGTCCTTTACATGGCCTCTTCCCATGCCCCTCCAATCCAACACTGCAACTTCTGAATAACCTGTGTAGGTTTATTACATATCACCAGTAGTACAACGTAGCTATATGGTACGGTGTGTAGTATGTTATGTACGTATGTGGGGTGTGTGTGTGTGTGTGTGTGTGTGTGTATGGTATGTATCTACCCTCTACTGAAGCTTAAGTCTTATCAACTCAGGAGTCTCCTAAATGCATTTTTCCCCCTCTTCCTTAATATCTGTGGTGATTTACACACGGTGTGTGTCAAAAAGAAATATCAAGGGGCCCCGGGTAGCTCAGTCGGTTAAGCATACTTCGGCTCAGGCCATGATATCACGATTCGTGTTTTGGAGCACCGTGTCAGGCTCTGTGCTGACAGCTCAGAGCCTGGAGCTTGCTTCAGATTCTGTGTCTCCCCCTCTTTCTTCCTCCTCCCATGCTCATGCTCTGTCTCTGTCTCTCAATAATAAATAAACATTAAAAAATTTAAAAAATATATCTAAGATGAAGGAAACCATGTATCACTACTCCCAAATGTTTATCGATTAAACTTTGGGGAGCTTCAAATAAATAAAAATAATGTATAATGCCTTCATTTTAATGGAATAGGTAGAATATTCATTTAATTAAACATGTATTAAGATTTCTTAAAACCACCAAAAACATAAAACTTAAATGTCAACCTTATCATATTTTCTCTTTTAGTCAACTTCATCCTCTCTTTCAAAGATAGTAGTTAAAATTCCCAAGATTAGAGGGGCAGAATATGAAGATTACTGACAGAAAGGAGTTATGTTGCAATTTAAAATACAGTTATACTCATAAATCAGCTGGAAACTGGAAATGTCATATGTACACTAGGCTTAACATTATGCCACTCTTCTAATCACCAACCATAGTGTTTTCTTTAGGCATTAAAGAGAAAATCATAAAGTAAATTTTTTCTTTTCCTGAACTTATGATCGAATTTATTTTGTTTACATTATCAAAGTATTAACCAATTGCTATCTCTTAATTATCTCTATTAGCTAAGAAAATATATATATCTCCTAAAATAAACAGCATGCATACTCTCTATGGTAATCCTCTGAAACCATTAATGATATAAGAAAGGATTTAATATTTAATATGTATTAATTCAGGTATTTACTGACTGCATAGTATGTGTTGAAGGCCATCAAAGGCATTAAGAACCTAAATGTAAATAAGACACAGGTCCATTCAACATGTAATTGATAAGCTTATTAGCAAAGACAGAAGCAGTTCATACAATTCATAGAGTAATCTAAAAGGCAAATGTCAGGCTACTTAATATAGTCAACCTATAGTATATCTGTGTCAATAACAAGTATAAATGAAGCAGGACATATAATGGAATTTGGGAACTGAGAATGGAACCACAGGGAATGAGCTGTAAAGACAAGGAAGCTGTGCATCATACAATGAGCCATTCCTATGGTTGATATACATAATGCATTTATTGTAAATCCTTCAAATATAGTGATGTTTTTCATCTTGATAAGCTCTTAGAACATACAGATCACTGAAAAACTGTTTCAAATTCAACTTTAAAAAGTCACCTGTAGCTTGATGAAATCCAATGGCTGGGGCAAATCCAGCAGCCCCTGCATATGGTGAAGAAATTATACCTGGTGCACCTAATGGGGAAGAAAAGCTGAAGTAAATATTCTACCTTCTATAGATATGGTTATCAAAGCAATAAAAAAAGTTTTATGATGGTATACTATTGATAAAGAGATACTGTTATGGAATAAAGATTTGTTCAAAAGGTGATACCTAATGTGTAAGTAAAGAGCCTCTGCCCCTTCCAGAGCCTAACCTCTTTCACCTGGGCTCAAGGTTCAAGAGTACAGCTTAGCTGTTATTTAGTTTTGAGTTACTAGTTACTTCATTTTCATTTATTTTGTTTTGTTACTTAGGCTGAGATTCATGCCCTTATTTAGAGCACTATTTCTATGTGAAAATTTCTATGTCAAATACTTACTGAAATGTACTATACCTAGACGGTACGGTGGTGATGAAAATATGAAATAAAAATCCTTACTTTTGAAAGGCTTACAAACTACAATTGTATGAATTATACTGAAGATCTAATGGTTTAAACACAAATGTACTGCAAGTGGTCTAAGAAGGAAATGCAGAGGATTCACTGTGATTGTTTGGAGGTGTCTCAGGAAGTAAAACTTGAGCTAGACATTATGTAATTGAAAAGCACAGTGCCTACTGCATACCAGATGCTAAACAAATGCTGGTATTATTTCCTTTCTTTCCAGAAGCCTGGGGACTGTGACCATCAAGAAAAACAGGAGTTAGTTCCAATGGAGAAGTCAATACTAGTCGCAAGACAATGTGATTTCGGACATGTCAAGGTTGAGGTGATGGTAAGACACAAGTGGAAATGAGAAGGCATACTTAGAAAAAGTAAGACACAGATCTGTAAATCATCTATGTAGAAATAAACGTGAAAGCCATATGAAAAAAAGTTACACTTTTTTAAAAAGACAGAAGACAAAAAATGGAAGAGAGTATTAATGGATACTTTAATGGATTCCAAAAATGGAATGGAGTATTAGTACATTTAAGTGACAGAGGAAGAAGATGAACATTCTAAGAAAAAGAGAACAGCCTTAGAAATAGAAAAAAAACAAAACAGAGAATTATAACCCCTCAGGATCTAGAGGAACAGTGTTTAAGTGGGTGGGGGCTCAGGAGAAGTCAAAGAGAATAAGAAATATAAAAAGTAAAGAAGTTTTAGAGCAATATCGAGAAGTTAGACTTTAAGAGTCAAAGGGAGAGGTTTTTTTCTTTTTAATGATAGGTTGATGAGCATATTTACGGGAAGAAATATGTAGGCTGTATTTTCCAGAGGAATTAAAAACTCAAAAAGTTTATTCTCTTCATTAAAAATAGTTAACAGAATCTGTTAAATATGTAGTTGTGATTTATTAAAATAACTCAAGAAAATATATAGTCATTAAGAGACTTCAGGGATAGAGCTGGCAGGGAGAACTGACAGTTAAGTGAAGATAACAAAAAATGAGATAACTGACAGAATTAAGTGATGAAGTAAGAGGAACGTAACATTTATTGAGAGCACACTGAGAGTCAAGCATTTTTCTAGCGCTAAGGAAGAACTGTCCTTGTTAAACTTATATTCAAGTAGGTTCAAGACCATACAGAAAAATGATTTAAAAAGATTTTTTAAGTTTATTTATTTATTCTGAGGGAAAGGGAGGGACACAGAGAGAGGGAGAGAGAATCCCAAGGAGGCTCCACACTGCCAGAGCAAAGACTGATGTGGGGCTCAATCGAAGAACTGTGAGATCATGACCTGAGCCAAAATCAAGAGTCGGACACCAACTGAGCCACCCAGGCGCTCCTAAAATGATTCATTTTTACAACAGAAATAACTATATTTAAGGCATAAAGACTTAACAAAGAGGCTTCAACATGGATATGAGTAATTATGAAAATCTGTGCTAGAAAGTTAAACATATGAAGAGATATATAGTAGATTGCATTATTGTTGCCAAGTATTTACCTGCCCCTTCCGTATAACTCTGGCTAGTACTGTGACTTGCACACATCTTTATGCAATTCCCACTGCACTTAATTAGGAGTACACAGCGATATAACATACACCACCTCTCTATAAAGAACCTTCAAGAGGCATTATGGGTTTACATCAGCTCTCCTATTTTTTACTCTCTGGCACCAGAATGACACTTTTAAACTGGGCACTAGATCACAAATACATGTGAAGGAGTGCTGCAAGAATGGGTTCACAGCTGCATAAATGTCAGGGGTGTGAAAGAAATAAATGTTAATTGCTGTAAGCTACTGAAATTGGGGGGAGGGCAAATGAGGTATTTTTAAAACACAAGAAGACTGGAGCGCCTGGATGGCTCAGTGAGTTAAGTGTCCGACTTCAGCTCAGGTCATGATCTCGCAGTTCGTGGGTTCGAGCCCGGCATCAGGCTCTCTGCTGGCATTCAGAGCCTGCTTCGGATCCTCTGTCTCCTCTCTCTACCCCACCCCTGTTCACACTCTCTCCCTCTCTCTCTCAAAAATAAACAAACATTTATTTTTTTTATTTAAAAAAAAATTTTTTTTCAACGTTTATTTATTTTTGGGACAGAGAGAGACAGAACATGAACGGGGGAGGGGCAGAGAGAGAGGGAGACACAGAATCGGAAACAGGCTCCAGGCTCTGAGCCATCAGCCCAGAGCCTGACGCAGGGCTCGAACTCACGGACCGCGAGATCGTGACCTGCCTGAAGTCGGACGCTTAACCGACTGCGCCACCCAGGCGCCCCAAAAATAAACAAACATTAAAAAAAAACACACAAGAAGACTAATACAGATGGCTATGGTAGGGGGCTATGAGGTTGCGAGACTAGTAGGTTTTAGAGAAATGAGGAAAAATTTTGAGGTAAGTATCCCAGAATGCTAAATAGCGATAAATAAAAGAATTGGCAAACAATTAACAGGGATAAATTTTAAGTAATTGCTCCCAAGTAAAATATGATTAATAAGAACATTTGTTAAAATTTGACAGAAGAATCATTGATAGTTTCTATAAATAAACATTCCCCCAAATAAGCAGAAACAGAAACATTTTAGCAAAGTAACCTTTAGACAATGGGTTAGTATCTTTATGAAAAGATTATACAAACTTTTATGGAAAAGGCTTAAGAGTTGAGTGACTAACAATTGTTTACATCTGGAAAATGTACCCCTACAACAGCAATTAAGGCAATAAAAATTGTTAACATTTTTACCTGTGAAATCAGTTTATCAATAATATTTATAATAATAAAACCCTAAAGAAACACATTTAATGTCCAAATTGGAGAATGTTTAAATTATGAGTTGCTAGACAAAATACAGAGCCATTTAAAATACTACAGAGGGTATGTACTACAAAAAAAATAATGCTCTGTAATTATTTTTTAAAAATGTGGACTCAGTAGCAGATTAAATAAACAGACCAACCTTCATGCAGAAAATGCCCGAAGAGTGTAAAGATTTTTAAAAAAATCTAACAGCCAACAAGATGATAAAGAATAACGAGGTCAAAAGCCAAGCCCCAAGAAACTGAGCTTTGGTTTTATCAGCCTCATGGGGTAGTAGACAAGATGAAAATTCCAGGATTGGCCCCAGGAAGGAAGTCAATAGATGACCTTTATGGCATTAATCTGGAAGTGTACACCTTAATAACCTGCCCTTCTCACCCTCAGACAAGACTGCAAGAAAAAGTGCCTTCATGTCTAATAGAAAAGGGAGAAAAAAGTTGCTGAAAAGGCCTAACCAAAAGCAAGCTCTGACAATTTGCAGCAGCTCAAATTCACATTTCTTAGGAGTCCAAAATAAAACTAATGAAGTTATGGATTTAGACTGAAATGGTCCCAAACACAGAGCCTTTAATTTTGCAAACAAATTCTCTCTGGAGGAGCATACCACGACCCCAAATAACTCATACAATTAGTTCTCTAAGTAAAATGAATAGCTCATTTAAAAGAAAGAAAGAAAAACCTAACAGAGACAGACACAGGAATTATCAGATCAAGATTTTAGATAGTACACTTGAAGAAATAAAAGATATGCCAAAAAATACTGTAGGTCAGAAGATACTTAAAAAGAGCAAAATAAAATTTCTAGAAATGAAAAACACAATTAATGAAATCTAAATTACTGGATGAGCTTAACAACAGATTAGACAAAGTTTCAAAAACTTTGATTTGTGAAATCAAAGGTCCTAAGGAATTATTCAGAATGCATTTTAGAGAGATAAAATAGAAAATATGAAAGTCTGCGACCCTCAGAATAGAGTAAGAGGGTATAACAGGTCAAATCAAAGTTTCAGAGAGTAAGAAAAAAAATTGTGGGAAGGGAAAATACATGAAAAGATAATTTCTATAACCAATAAAAGGCAATGACCCATCAAATCAAGAAGCTCACGGAAGCTCCAATTAGAATAAACACATCACAGACACATCACACTGAAACCACAGGGCATCAAAGATGAAGAAAACGTCTGAAGAATAGCCAGAGAGAAACAAGCAGTAGTTAAATTGACGCAGCTGACTTTCTAAGAGCAACAATGAAAACCAGAACATCATCAAATGATTTAATATACTGAATGAAAAGAAAAATAAATATATCTGTTGATCTAAAACTCCATACTAAGCAAAAGCATCTTTTAAAACTGACAACAAAATAAAGACATTTTTGAACAAAAATTTGAAAACTTCAAATATGTTATCATGGACTTTCCTAAGTGAATACTGGAGGATACTGTTCAGGTAAGTGAATCCAGATGGCATATCTGAGTTGTAAGAAAGAATAAAAAGTTGGGGCGCCTGAGCAGCTAAGTCAGTTGAGTATCTGATTCTTGATTTCACCTCAGGTCATGATCTCATGGTTTGTGAGATCAAGTCCCACATCGGGTTCTATGCTGCCAGTGCAGAATTCTCTCTCCATCTCTGCCTTTCCCCCACTTGCGCTCCCTTTCTCTCCCTCTCTGAAACTAAATAAATGAACATTAAAAAAAATAAAGAAGGAATAAAAAGTCTACAGTTACATATGGTTTGATCTAAACGAACATTTATTATATAAAACAATACTAACAAGTTGC